AGGATACGGAAGGTGGTGGATGATGAGACTATAGGACACCACAAGAAATCAGTGATCACATGGTTAGTGAACTGCAACAGATCTTCCATTTGATGTTCTTATTTGGTGATATGATTTATTGAAGCAAAGGCCATAAAACAAAGGTAACTAAATGAGAGAGAATGATTGATGCAGTGCCTGAATTGGACCAACAAAGGTGCCGGTACCCTAATTCAGCACAACCCTAACTCTTATTCTTTTTGCCGTTTTTTATCCATTTTAACAAGGTCATTTTCAGACCTGTTTTCTTCCACATGTTTACAGAGATGCAGTTACGCAGCTGTTACATTTTTCCGACCCTGCATTCCAGCTCTGCCTCTGATTGGCTCTGATCGTGACAGTTTTTTTTCTAACCCCAACCCTAACCAACCAAACCAACGAAAGCAACAAGCACGTGTCAGTCTGCCTCTCTGACTGACACATCTTTGGAAAGAAAAACTAAGTGTTATTAGGGTGTTTAGAGGTGCGTAGATTCATCAGGACGTCATGGTAGTACACAAAGAGTAAGGGTACTCATTTGGACAAAAATCTGAAGTGTGTGTGAGTACTGGCCCATTTCAGGCAGTGGTTTGATGGTTTGATTATTCTTTTAAGAGCAAAAACAAATGTCATTGTATTAACACAAAATTGAAAAGTAAACGTATGTAAATGTGCAAACTGCAGTAAGGTGTGCAAAATCGATATAACTGTAAAATTCGGATTCATTCTGAACTTTAATGTCTGACTTTGTGATCAGGATCTCCTTCCTTTTCCGATATAGTCCTTTGAAAAAACATTATAGTGTTTTTAGTAATAACATTGATGAGATAAAACTGCTGCATATAACCTGTCTGGTCCATGAGGGTTTTACGAGGGTGTGAAAACCCATGCGTCAGCCAAAGTATTATGATATGAAGGTCATTAATGGCGTCTATCTTTAGTACTTCTGTCTCTCATTCAATAAATCCATCCAGGTAAACTGCAGGTACTTTTCTTTTCTCTCAGGGGAGGGAATGATGACTGTATGACCTAAGCAAACTGCAATAAGGTGTGTCGGTGCTGTTTATTTGCTGAACAGCTGATAGTGACATACTAAGCTGATGATGGTATGAACTTGTTTCCTTGTTTTATCTGACAACACAGTATATTCAGTGTCTTCCTCTGACCGAAAGAGAGGTAACCACAACTGCGTGAACTGTACACACCCTTTCCATCTATGAGTCACAAGAGTGGGTTTATGTGGACGGCTGACTTCACATGAGCAAGCATCTATTCCTCGAAATACTCCTCAAGGAAACATGAACTTTTTCAACGAAAGGATAAACTTTGCACCTTCTAGACTCCAAATTCAAATTTCTCCATTCTTATCCTGACTGTCTGGCGGCTGCAACAGATCTGCTTTTTGAGAACTGCTGTTATGTTGACCTCTAAGCAATACCAAGAACTGATTCTCAAAGGGAGGCACATTATAACAGACCTTTTTCATAGAAGACATTTTGACCTGTCACAGCGGAAAAAGCAACAGTGTGAATAATAGAATTAATGAGCGCTGAATTTCCTTTAGCTGCTTCAGTTTCAAAGTCCTACCATTATGCATGCAGGCTCACTGTCACACTGACATGGCTTACTAAGACACTTAAATAGAGCGGAGGCAATGTTAATAGTAACACCTGAGCTTTTCCTGCGAGTCAACAGAAAGTTACTGCTGTTTTCCTCAGTATAAAATGCCTTAAAGGTCCAGTTCACCTAAAACACATTTAATCACTTATATCTAGTGCTATCTAGCTCTCAAATAGAATTTCACTTGTGGTGCTCACAGGATAAAAAAAGTTCATTATAAAAATTTGTTAGAAATGTTCAGAAATACATATAGGCTATATAGTATAAATAAGGCTACATACAACTGGTAGTTTATAAGAAAGAATGATTCTTGTGAATTTAGTGAAGCGACCCTTTTAACCAAACTCAGTATAAATTATCTCTGAGATACCTTTTTAAAATAATGTGTGTGCGCTCCCAGAACCTCCACCATTCGTTTTAGCACTGTGCATTGTGAAAGTTCTGGCTTGCACCCATTATCATTATGTTATAAAAACAAAAATGCACATAGCAGAAGGGAAGGAGAAAGCAAAATGAAATAGTCAGCCAATGTGTACTGTACAGACTGAAATAATGTCGCTAGACAAAAAGTTAGGGGTTCTTCAAAGTGATCACAATTAATCCTGAAAGATGTCTGTGCATTTCACTGCAACCCATCCAGTGGTTGTTGAGATATTTCAGTTTAGACCTGGTGGACCGGCTGACAGTCCGAGCAACATGGCCTTCCCTAGAGCAATGCAGCTAGCATGGCTAAAAATAAAACCCACAGCCTCACAGCAAGACACCATCAAAAGCTAAATGATCTGATATTTTGACTCAGACTCACCTTAATATAGAACCTACCATCTGGAGTGAGTTAAACACGTACTATCATGCAAATAAAAGAATATGTATTAACAAAAAAGATAATTAAGATACTGTATTCATTACAGCCTGCCACATTTTCCATTATAGACACACACAAGTATATGCATAAGTGCATATACTTTAACACAATGTCATCTGTAGAACTAACTGACACTCCCTTCAACCGGATGCACACCAGGTTTCACTTTCATTTAATGACCAGATGACCTGCAAGAACACAAGCAGGGAAAAATGACGTTAAGGTTGACTGATATATTTACTGACTACAAAAAAACATTTTGCAGAAATTGCTTATTTAACACTTGAAAATACAAATACATGCAGCATTATATTAAGTGTATATTATAAGCCCTAGTTTTGAGTAGCAAAGAAGCAGCCACTTCACTATACATTTAATAAGAGTCTTAATGACGACACCTGACGAAACTCAGGGACATGTCATCATCAAGATATGAACAATTAGCATGTGCCACGCATACAATATGCCAGCTCATTCCTGCTAATAGCTGCCCCTGTTATCCATCTTAGAACCTTAATTATCTTACTGTTTAATTATGAATTATAGGTCAGACGTGCCTGCACATGCATTATCTGTCCACTTGTGTCATTTCCATTTCTTCTCTGTCTGCCCGAATGCTGTACAGTGTTTATGAATGAAGGCAGAAATTTCTAATAGGCTAATATAAACATGCAGAATTAGAGCATCAGGTTTTCACACCACCTGCTGAGAATCACAGCACTGAACTGATTTTAACAAGGTCGCTTTTCCAAGGAGGATGATGATTATTGCACATGTTTAGTCCTGTAGATTTAATTACTGGAAATATACATTTGTGCAAGCATGCCCCCTAAAGCTTAGCTTTTATACAAACACAAATATCAGTTACGGCTGACAAAATCAGACCTTTTTGAACGAGTCTCTAAGCCTTAAAAAGAAACACATCTGTTACCTGGCAACAACATGTTACTTTAAGATATGCTCCATCACTGTGTTATTGCACCTAACAGTGCCCCTAACTCACACATTTACCCCTAGATTATTGTTGACTGAGTATCAAAACATCAACAGCAAGAATAAAACCAGGAAGTATCTCTTTAAGTAGCTGTAGAGAACGTGTTTTCTAGAAAGACCAGGAATCACACTCACTGAATATAATGAGAGCAGGCTGTTTGTTACAAATCCTGCAAGCTCCCCTGCTCAGAGCTTACATAAATTATCATGCCAGCCTGATAAGTATCAGTTTAAACATGATTGCGCCTTCGGTATTGATTGTGTGTGTAGATTTTTTTTTTATCAATCAACCAGCAATCACAAGAAGCAAACATTAGACTCATTGTGGGTGAGGCATATTTACACATAAGTGAACACAATTACTGAGAAAAGGGAGAAAATAACGATAGTAATATTATAGAATGTTATATTGTTTTTCTAATATAATAATAGGGAGACCGGGGCTTGTTGTCACACCTTTTACACTCTTATATATTTCTTG